GGCCCTTTCTTTCTCTACAAAAGGCTAGCCTTGTCACTCATACCACATCCATGGGCTCGGGTTGTAAAAAACCAAAGAAGCTCAAGCCCCATCCATGGCAGCCCTAGGCGGCGTCTTGTAAAGCCAAGGCCCTTGCTCTCTGTACAAAAGGCAAGTTTTTTCTCTCGTACCACACCCATGGGAAGCCCCTTCTCTTCATGAATAAGTAGAAGCTCGGGTTGCAAAAAACCAGAGAAGCTCAAGCCCCATCCATGGCAGCCTTAGGCGGCGTTTTTGTAAGGCCAAGGCCTTTTCTCTCTCTACAAAGATGAGCCTTTTCTCTCATACCACACCCATGGGAAACCCCTTCTCTTCATGAATAAGGAGAAGCTCTGGTTGCAAGTTTGCTTATTGTATGGAAGCAAATTGTTTACTGCTGCGAGAGATACAGGAAAATCTTTTGGATTGGTAAGAGAATTTTGGAAGGGTAGAATGCGACTTTTCTTTTAGTATGTTAACTCCATCCAAACAGTCCAGCATGATAATAATAAAAGATGGTAATGTTTCTTAATTAAGGATGAAGAAGCTTATGATTTTTTTCAATGTGAAGGTTTTTTTATTTGACATCCAACCCTTAATGATCTGACTCGCCCTGAGCAACGAACCCAAGTGGTTGCTCCATGCAAAGTTCTTTTAAATCACCATGGAGAAAAGCATTCTTGACATTTGCCACAACAGCCGTCTATTGTTAGCCGCCACAGTAAACCAATTGAATTGAATTAAGTATAACCACACGGGCAAATATTTCACAGTAGTCAATGCCAAATGTTTGTTTGTACCCCTTAGCTACCAATTTGGCTTTTAATCTTTCTATAGTGCCGTTAGGTTGATATTTGACTGCATAAGCCCATCGACACTCGACATCCCTTTTTCCAATTGGTAACTCATTGAGTTCCCATGTATCATTTCAATGACGTGCATCCATATCTTCGTCGCTCTCTTCCACATAGTATGAGAAAGTGCTTCTTGATAGGTCTTAAGAAAATAAATAGATGCAAAGGCTAAAGTGAAATTTGTAAAGGTAGCAAAATGTGCAATTAGATGTTGAGAACAAGACCTGATGCCTTTATGGATGGCAATAGGTTCATGGTCATTACAAGAAGGAGGTGGATCAATAGACGAAGATGATAATTGAGTGGTTGGCTGAGTTGGTGGGGGATGTCCACCTTATATTTGTCTTCTAGTGTAAACCTTTCTGGGCTGCTCCTGAGAAACATCATGACGTGTAGATGTGCTAGATTCAGTGGAGTTAGGCAAATGGGGTGAAGAAGTATCAATAGGAATAGCAAGAGGAATCAAAGAAGGCGAGGACTTTGAGGTTCTTCAGAACATGATAAAAAATCTTTGTATCAAGCACGTGACTCTCTTTTAGAAAAATGAGAATTATTTTTAAAAAAGTTACATCGGCACAAACAAATTTCGATCGTGAAGTAGGATGATGACAATGATAACCTTTTTGGGATCGTGAATACTTGAGAAAGGCACATTTGACAGCCCGGGGATCTAGCTTATCATTACCGGCACCTAACATATGAACAAAGCTAACACACCTAAGCACTCGAGGAGGAACAACAATCGGTGGAGCATTAGGAAATAGAACCGTATGTGGTATTTTTCCGTATAAGACTGAAGATTGCATACGATTGATTAAATAACATGAGGTCAGCAAGGCATCTCCCTAATAAACCTTAGGAACACACATATTAATAAGCAAAGAACATGCGATACTTCAAGTGTTGATTTTTCCCTTCAGCAACCCCCTTTTGTTGAGGTGTATGCACACAAGAAGTTTGTCATGAAATCCCATTTTGAGCATAATAATTCTAAAATTCTCTCTAGAAAGATTCTCTTATGCATTATTAGAATATAAAATCCACACATTTTTATTGAGTTGAGTTTGGATCTCTTTGTGAAACAATTTAAAAATGGAGAACAATCGCAGATCTCTCTTTTATTAAATATAACCATCTCATTTACGAATAATCATCCTCGAAAGTTACAAAATATCTATGACAAGACAACCTTTGTACTTTAACTGGACCCCATATATCCGAATGACCACTATAAATGGAACAAGTCTCTGTTTGTCAACTCTAGGATGAAATGACACCCTTTGGTGCTTTCCTAACTAACAATATTTACACTCTAAAGCAGATATAAACTCCAAAGATGGAACTAATATCTTCAAGTTATTGAGAGAACGATGACCCGACTAACAATGCCATAAGAAAGGAGAATCAATAGAGTGAAGAGCAACACCAATCGGGTTGTGATCCAAGTAGTACATGCTGCCTGATTTACACCCGCCACCTATTGTCCTCTTTGTCTTTAGATCCTGAACGACACAAGAAGAAGGATAAAGGGTTATAAAGCAATGAAGATATTTGGTTAATTTGCTCATAGATAATAAACTAAAAGGGAACTTTGGAACATACAGTACAGATGACAGCAAAAGGGAAGGAGTAGGCATAATTGTACCCTGCCCTAACATACTGGACAACAAGTCATCCGCTAGCGTAACAAAGGAATTAGGAGTACACTTATTTAGAGATGCAAAAATAGAGGATTCACTAGTCATGTGATCAAAGACCCCTGACCTGAATCAATAACCCATGGAGCAGGTTTCCTGGAGGCAAGAAGCACAAAAGTACCTGATTTGGCAAGGGTGGCAGTAGAAGAGGAAGAGGGAACCTTATACTGCTGTCCGTAAGGGGTCTTTCAGGGAGGCAATGAGTTTATGGTAAAAGGAGGAATCAGTGAACACTCCGGAGGGAGCGGGAGACCGGATAATTTTGTCCTCCTTTTGGGAAGGGAGGTAGAGGGAGTGGAGTGGAGAATTGAGGAGAGTTCCAGGAAGGCAAGGATCTCGTTATCATGGAGATTTTTGCGGAAATTGGGATTCCAAGCCTTGGAGTTCCTTTCGGAACGAAGAGATCTGCAATTGAGGCATCTGGGTTTCTGGCAAGGCGAAAGAGGTCAAGGAAGCGAACCATGAGGGGGTTATGACCAATCCAAAGGTCTAACCAGAACTTGATTCGAGTCCCAGTTCTGGGGTGCTAACAGATGTGAGACTTGAAAGGGTGGAGGCTACGAAGAATAGATCTCCAAACCCCGAGGAGGAGTTGAAGACCATACGGAGCATCCAGGGAAAAGAGTTAAGACGATATTTGTAGCATAGCACTTGTTGCCACAGATGACCTTCCTGGGTAGTTAGCCGTCACTAACAGTTGCCGAGAAGGTTAGGATCTCGTTATCGTGGGGATTTCTGTGGAAATTGGGATTTCTGGCCTTGGAGTTCCCTTTGGGAACGAAGAGATCTTCAATTGAGGCATCTGGGTTTCTGACAAGGTGAAAGAGGTCAGGGAAGCGAACCATGAGGGGGGTATGGCCAATCCAAAGGTCTGACCAGAACTTGATTCTAGTCCCAGTTCTGGGGTGCTAACGGATGCGAGACTTGAAAGGGTGGAGGCTACGAAAAATAGATCTCCAAACCCCCTGACCACCCACAGACCAGGTGCCGTATATGGTAAATCCACTCAGGGGCACTATACAAGAGAATAAAAGCCGTCAGCAGGCTTATACAAAATGGCAAAAACAACCAAGTAGACGACTCATAGTAAATTGTGGGGTAAGATCCTGAGGTCTCAGCAAGGTGAGCATCATCTTTGGAGAGAGTATTAGCTCTAGGATTTGCTTCCCGCCATATGTGCATCCAAGAGATGAGAAGCTCGCTGGAAATGTGAAAAATTTCATCGAAAATATGTGCCAGTCTCCAAAGACTGGTCGATGAGCCTGAGGCCCAGTTGATGATGTTGCTGCTATCTCCTTCTATGATAAGGACACGATCCCAGGAGCTGACAAAGTTACCGAGGCCTTCCAAGGAGAGCAATTGCTTCAGAAGTGGTAGAGTCAGCCTATCCTATGGACTTGGAGAAGGAGAAGAGGGTTCTACGTTCATGGTCCAAGTAGATACCCCCAATCCCGGCTGGGCCCGAGTTGCCTAAGGAGCAGCTGTCGAAATTGAGTTTAATTTGCCCTGGTCAGGCAGTTTCCAAAGGGAAGCCCTGGAAACGCGAGGGGGAATGAGGTGCAGCACGGCTTGCCAATTGAGATGAAAGCCCGTGTGTGAGAAAAGTTTGAAGGCTGAGTTGTTCCTGGCCCAGAAAATGACGGATTCCTTTCTCTTCCGTTGCAAGACCGAGGGTGTGGAAGAAACACCCCTAAAGATTCTGTTGTTGCACTTGGTCCAAAGGACCCACAGTGTAGCAGCCACTGATGCTTGCCAGAGTAAAATCCCAGATTTACTCCAAGGGAGGGAGTAAAAGGAGCTAAGTAACCTGGGTCGGGGTTCACCCAACACCATTTGAAGAGCTGTAGTAGGTGCCCCCACAGTTCCATTGCCACCTTGCAATGAATGAAGTGGTGCGCATTGGTCTCTTTGTCCTCCATACACAAGATTTATCTATTGGGAATGGGGAGACCCCTGATTTGGAGTTGGTCGACAGTTAAGGCTCTTTGGGCAAGGACCATCCAGTTGAACACCTGAATTTTAGGTGGAATGAATGGGAAACTGGCCCTAAGAGGTGATAGAGTGGGGAAGGGTAGGAAAGGTAGGGCCCAAGAGGAGTTTCCGGTGGAAGGGCTTGACAGAGAAGAGACCAGAGGCAGTAAGAGACCAGATGGTGCCGTCGGCACCTTGAGAAGGGAGAAATACTGAGTGGAGAAGGGTGGACATGTCAAGGAAAGCTTCCAGCTCATTATCTGTTAGGGCCCTCTGGAACCTGGAGTTCCAAATTCTAGCGGGACCCAGGGAATCGGAATGATCAGCCACTGATCCTTGACCCAGGCAAGCTATATTGAACAGGTTTGGGTAGTGCTCCCGGAGGTTGGAATTGCCAAGCCAGAGGTCTAACCAGAATCTCATGCGTCCACCTTCCCTAGGATGAAATCTGATGTTGGTTTTGAAATGGGGCAGGCTGTGGAGGATTGATCTCTACGCCCCTGAAGCACGACCAGAAGCCCTGCAAGATGGTGACAATTTGCCAGAAGGGCAAGATTGTTCAATTTAAGGTGGCGAATACCCAGCCCTCCGAAGTTTGTAAGTAAGCAAACTCTCTCCCAAAAAATAAGATGGAACTTTTTGTGTTCTTGTCACCTGACCACAGGAAGTTGCACATGAGCTGTTCAAGGTGGTGGGCCACAGAGGAAGGCATATGGAATAGCGACATCTGAAATATGGGAATGTCTGAGAGAGTGCCTTTGATTAGAGTGATTCTCCGTGTGGGTGAGAGGAACCTGCCTTTCCAGCTAGTGAGTCATCTCTCAAACTTGTCAATAAAGTGGCTCCATTGGCTGATTTTGGGCTGGCCAATGCACAGAGGTAGCCCCAAATAGGTGGAGGGCAGGGCCTGAACCTCACAACCCCTGCGGTCAGCCAGGTCCTGGATTGTTGCGGCTTCAGAAGACACCCCAATCATCTTGGTCTTGTTCATGTTCACCCTGAAACCAGTGGCAAACTCGAAGCACTTGAGGCACAGCAGCATTGATTTTGTCATTTGTTATCTAAGTCTTTAACTCTTTTTGTTATACATATCTTATCTACTTGTTGGTTGCTGAATGAGAAATTTGCATTTCATCTCTAAAACCTATTCGAGTGAGCCTAACGCATGTGCTTATGAATATACACGTGTGCTTATGAGTATCATAGTATGTCTGGCTCAATATTTGGTGTTTTCTATATTACTTTATTCTTATAGATTTCTTTCAGTTAAAAACAAATATGCTCGTTTGCTGAAGGGCATTTCGTGGTCTCCAGAGATCATTTCCACTTACTGAAGAAGAGTACCTCATGAGGCTTGATGATGTAGCAAATGTGTTGAAATGTTGGGGTGCTGTTTCTCACGTCCGAAACAGTCTTGAAAGAATGAAGGAAAGGCCTCGTATAGGCAAGGTGAAAAGCCCCACAATGCCCCGAAAGTGAATATTTGCTAAGAAGTAGTTCTTTCTTGTGACTCTGTCATGTGGTTCTAAATTTGTTATTCTGCTTTCAGTCTTACCTTCGTACATGGTCGTAATGACATTCTCTATGATTTCACCATATGTTCGCAAAATAGTCAGATGCCATTCTTGCTTTGGCAGTGAGTAAGTGGGCTACCTAGTAAAATTAGGACTTCCTCCCTAGAGCAGTGTTTTTGCTATCTAGGCACCTCACCCTGTAAGAAATACAGTTTCTCAACAAAAAAGAACTAAAGAGCTACCTTAACCTCTTTCCAAGGGCACGCTTCATCTCTTTGAGGGGATCTGCATTTTGAACTTAAATCTATTAGAATTATATGGTTTACGAAAAAGATAAGGTTATTGCATCTCCTACTAACATCTTTTCGTGAAATCATGAGAATGTGATTGCATGTGTCGTCCATTGATGCAGGCAGTCAGCATTTTCATTGACATGGATGAGTCTGGAGGCCGTGCTGATGAGTGGATTTACAAGTAATGTGATATGAGTTGAACCACAAAATTGAAAGAGCATTCTTTCAAGATGCGTATGTGTCATCAGCAAATGGTTTGTATGGAATTCACTTGAGTCTCACCTTTTGCATGTGAAATCTTGTCTGTTGAATCCCGAAATTGTGGACAGTCCATTTTCGTTGCAATTTCCTCAGTTCTTGGGGTGCCTTGCTTGCATCCAAATGTATCAGTGCTCATCTTGTAAAAAGTGTTTGTGTACTAGGTTTTGTACATGTTCTATTTGCAGAGTGCCCACCCCTTCAGTGACTGAATATCAGAGCAGGGTTCCACTAAAAAATGAGCACTTGATATAGAAATGGCCCGTGATCAAGGACATAATGCTCCAGCCCTTTACATGAGCAATTCACCGTCTCTGAAGAGAAATGTGGCTGCTTGAGACTTGAATGCATTATGCAATTATTATTATTATTTTGGTTGTTAGCGTGAATGTATGCATGATGACATTTTAGGAGAACCCCACACCATGAGCACAAACAAGCAACTTGAGCTAAGCCTTAGTTCTGTGCAGTATACTTTTTTAATTTTTTGGTTTAAGGTGTTCAGCAGAGCCGAACCTTGGTGACTCTTGCGATGGGGTTTTAACTGCCTTAACCATTGATCAAAAGAAGAGGTGAGAACGTGTTGGGTATGGTCAGTTAGACCCAACCCGGACTCAATGTGGTAGGGTCCTGACATGACCCAGACTAGGACCTGGCAAGGTCCAAATTCGTCTGACCTAGATCCAACCTGCCGAGGTCCGGCGTTGGCCTGCACCTGCACCCACGTTTTGGAAATGGGCTATGTCGGCTTTGAATCTGTTGCACCCATACTCGAACCGCGGGGTCTATTCTAAGGGTCTAGACCAGACCTGGGTTGGGTAGACCCAGAGGTTTGCCAGGTTGATGCAATCTATTAAAAGCCCGAATCTAGCAAACCTTCTTTACAATTGGGAATAATCTGAAGTGTGAGTGGAAAATGAAGGTTTCAACCCTGGGATTGCTTATCCAATCATGCTCGCATAACCAATGGAGGTGTGTAGGTAATGCTCTCACCATATGATACCATAGTGTGACGTGGTCGTCTCTTCTAAATCTCGTCTCCTTTCCTTCCATCCTCTCTTCTATAGCTACATTTGTTGAGAGTCTTTAGACCATCATCTCTTGCCTATATTTTATCACATATCTATTTCTGTCTCCGTTGTTCAAGTGAAAATAATGTGGAGTCTTATCTTGATTGGAAATAATTTAGTTTTTAAATAGCATTTCTATTATCCTTTTTATTTCCTCTTGCTCCAAGTTCTTGCTTGTGTGTCGCACGCGATGCAATCTAGTTCTCAGTTTATGATGCCAATGCGAGCATCATGTCCTTCAAAGTTTGTTAAAAGTTTTGAACTTTGGAAACAAAAGATAGAAAAATTCTTAAATGAGATATTTCAACTTTGGGAGTTCACAATTTGTATTTCATTGTTTTCCACCCATGTGTTTGAGATCTGATAGCCTAAAGCTCTTGGAAATATTTTTAAAGTTTTTGGATTTTCTTTCCTCATAATGCCAAATGATTTCGCGTTAGTTTGAAAAGTAGACTGTTGGGAGATGCAGTTCTCTATTTGCCTCCCCTAAGGTATCAAATATCCATTTTTAATATGGATGCAAAGTTGTGGTCTCTCCTAAAAGTAAAATTTAATGGTTAAAAATTTTTATCCAATCTTTTTTTTTTTAGCTTTTAAAATTTGTTTATTTTTACATATTAATGATCTCCATGTTAGAGATTATAGACATCTAAAGAATTAGGTCCAAAAACCATCTTAAAATTAAATCAGAAAGAGGAGACATATGACTCGTAAACTATAAAATTATTATGTTCAATAGGGATCTGCTATATAACAAATAATTTTGGAAACATTTAGTTTACTCTAAGGGAAAAGTTTATATAAGGTTGCAACCTTAAAATGTAGAATTACATGTGCACCTTAAAAAATCTATTGGAAATGTTGTTTTAATTTTGAAAAAACCCTCTAATCGATCATCTCGAAATCGAGATGGATGAATATGAAAAAAAAACTTTTGATGTCCTGAAAATAGTACATCTTGCAATATATTATCTAGAGTGTCTATTTTTAAGATTTTCATATATTTATAGATCTATTTGATTTTAACTATTTTTGGAATTTAAAAATTTCTAATTAGGTATGATTTTAAGATGATACTAAGTACTTTTTACAACAAAATTACATGTTATAATAAAATTTTAAGGTGCGCCTTAATTGGATTGTTTAAGGTTGTAACCTTATAGAAACCGCACCCTCTACCTAATTCTATCTCCTTTAATAAAAATCACTAGGAAACCGTTCAAATTGTGTAGCAATCCGTGGTTAACTTCCAATGACAAGAAAATGGGAGGGAAAAAGTTTCGTGCCAGATTTTGGCGTCAAAACACAATTCAAACCCGAAACCCTAAATTAATAGTTAATAAAGTAATATTGTGAAAGAAAAACAGTTTTTTTGGCGCCTCCTGCAATGCTCCCGCCCATCTTTGAGCTCTCCCGCCTTTTTGGCAGCGAGTTAATAATAGTAATAACATGACTGAAAAATGGCGCCAATTGCTCCCGCCAAATTCATCTATCTCCTTTGCACTCTTGTCTAGAGATATATATAAAACCCTTAGTTGGCAAGGACCAGAGGCCAAGATCTCTCTTTCTTTCTCGTGTTGTTGCGGAGTGGAGGTACGATAAGCTCAGGAGAAGGAAATGGTGGTACGTGTTGGGCCAAGCAAATTCTATGGCAGTGGGCTTCCTAGGCCACGGATCTACAACAACATAGAGGGTAATGAGAGGGTTGATCCCCCATTACCAGTCATGGCTCCTCTTCTCCAATGGGCAAATGAAGCCCACTGGTCAAGGGGGGGCCTCAGTTTCAAGCGTCGTTCAAGAATGCAGGGCAAGCTTGAGGGCAATATAAGGAAGCTCAGAGCTCAAATAGATGATGATGATGACGACGATGTTGTCGTGACGATGATGATGAAGAGAAAGGAGAAAAAAGAAGTCCAAGAAAAGGGTGTCTCTCCTACTGAGACTGCTGCAAAGAATGCCCTTCCTGAAGAAGAAGCCCCTTCTCCTGGGACTTACAATCGTTCAAAGCGAGTGAGGAAGAGGCTACTCGAGGATGGTGATGATGATCATGAGTTCAAGAGCACTCAGAGGGATACTCTGCCAGTACAAAGGTCCTCAAGAAAGGTGAGATCTGAATTGATGGTGGAAGCTGAGGAGCTGGGACCAACAGCTATGGATGAAGATGCCAACCTTAACAAGGCTGCCCCTAGTAGTACTAGGGGCAAAACAAAGAAACTGTTTGAGGTGGAGGAGGAAGAGGGGAAGAGCAAGAAGAGGCGGTCTAAACAGCGCTCCTCAAAGTGAGATGCATCGACAGCAGTGGTCATTTTAATTCCTCTTGGCCACATGTTCGTGGCCTTCCATCCTGTCTATATTATGATACTGTCGTTTTTCTTTTCTGTTATCTTCATTTTGGAGAAATCGTAATGTGAATCCCTTCTTAAATTATGATACTGTCGCGCCTTCCATCCTGTCTATATTATGATACTGTCGTTTTTCTTTTCTGTTATCTTCATTTTGGAGAAATCGTAATATGAATCCCTTCTTAAATTATGATACTGTCGCGCCTTCCATCCTGTCTATATTATGATACTGTCGTTTTTCTTTTCTGTTATCTTCATTTTGGAGAAATCGTAATATGAATCCCTTCTTAAATTATGATACTGTCGTTTTCATTACTGTTATCTTCATTTTGGAGAAATCGTAATGTGAATCCCTTCTTAAATGATGGCTCGGTGGTTGTCCTCCAACAAGTCATTGGAATTTCAGGAAATGCCGTAGCCATGGTTTCTGACACCCTTTGTTTTTTGGTGCTTATACTGGATAAAGAAGGGGGAACACTTCCTTGTCTTCTTCTCTCTGCCAGTGAGGGTCATGAAATATTGAAGTTTTCTCCCAACTTCTAAATGATGACTGTTCAGGAAAATAAATTGCTAGATCTCAAATGTCTTTAGCTTTTGATGCATCTCAAATTGTTGCAGGTTTTGAATGCTGTATTGCTTTATATCCCCTTTGCTGCAAGGTCCCCATTTTTCGTCACATTATGATTCATCCCCTTTGCTTCTGTTTCAATTGAAGCATGAAATTTCAAATTGGTGTTTAGGTAGCTTCAAAGTTGGTCTGTGTCCTTGTGCAAAGTATTATGTGAGGTTTGAAAGTGTAATTTCCAACTTTCAAATTACCTTTTAGATTAATGGGGTTAGTGCTACAGTATTTAAACCCCCCCCCCCGGTACAAATTTGCTATGTTCGTGACCGTTCATTGAACAGACCAACAATGGATGAACAGACCAACAATGGATGACATACTGTCTATCGTGGTTCTATGTGAATTTTGATTGTCACGGACTCGGTATGTTCATGGTGGTATGGACATGCCATGAACAGACCAACAATGGATGACATACTGTCTATCGTGGTTCTATGTGAATTTTGATTGTCAAGGACTTAGTATGTTCATGGTGGTATGGACATGCCATGTCTATCGTGGTTCTATGTGAATTTTGATTGTCAAGGACTTAGTATGTTCATGGTGGTATGGACATGCCAAGTCGGCGACGGTCGAAAAATGCATGCCATCTGATTTTTTGGTTTGGACGGTAACGAGCCTATAGGTGACAGTACTATTCATTTTTCGCCCAAAATAGAAGTGCCCTGTTTATTCTCATTCGGTGTTTGTTGAATTCCTTTAGGCGAAATAGAAGTGTCCTCATTTATTCTGTGGGAATGGGTGTTTGTTGAATTCCTTTTTACTGTGGAGATGCTAGCTCCTCGACCACAGCAGTTAATTGAAGTAAATTGAAATTCGACATGAATAGGACCACAGCAGTTAATTGAAATTCGACATGAATATTCTCCGGTTTAAGTAACAAATGAGAAACAATGGGTCTTCAAATCGTTGGAAAATTTCAGCTTTCAAGCTTCCAGAACCAAATTCTACACGAGGCATCAAACTATATGTTTTCAAACTACATGTTTTCAAGAAGTTCGACACAAGGCATCAAACCATCCAAATATTATACCCTTCAAGGGTGTGTAGATTTGCATTAACCTCAGGAATCGTGTGAGTGGCTTTCTTTACAAATTACCGGTCTCCACTTGACTATGGTAAGAGTTTCGTTAAGCAATCAAGTAACTACGAATTTGAATAAATGTTTGGTTAAGCACTCAAGCAACAAGGAATTTGAATAAATTTATTGTTCACTTGTTGTGTAACCATGAATTTCTAAGCTGCAGCGATGCAGCTTCACCAAAGCACTTGGCTTTGGCTAAACAAAAATGAGTACAGAAGCCCACCGTTGAGCAGATTCGAGTGGTTTTCAAAATGTAACAGCAAGAGGAGGAACAGGAATCATCAGCCCCTCTCCCTTGAATCAATAAACCCCATAATGTAGTACTAGTAGAACAGGCCCCCTCCACTGGACCTTGGGCATCATCATCGTCTTGTTTATTGAGGAGCTCCTCCACTAGAATGATGCCATCAGGGCCCCTCTCATTCAGAGATCTTCGAATTTCATTCCAAGAATCCACGCCTACTATCTCCTGCCATCTCCTCCCCTCCCCATCCATTGGGGAATAGACATATATCAAGAAGGGAACTTTCCCTATGTTCCGGACAATCTATGAGACACAGATACGTTTTTAGCCAAGCCAAGCCAAGCCAAGCCAGCCACAAGAGAAGTGAGAGATTCAGAAATTAAAAAACAAAATAACAAGGGTTATGCAGAAAGGAAAAGCACGGCGTACCCACCTCTGGTATGGAGTCAACCATCCACTGATCCAGGTCTTCGTAAGAGACAGGGACTTGATTTTTGTGCTTCCTGTTATCGGTAGTATTGGTGGTAAGAGAAAGAGGAAAAGGGCTTCCTCCTCCTCCATTGCGTTGCTGTTGTTGTTTAGTGATGAATCCCGGACACACCTTTTTTGTCAAAGGGCCAGCCCGAACAGTAATAGGACCACCACTCTGCCGAAGCCGCCGGTTGTTGTTGATGCCGTGGTGGTTGAGCGGTCCAATAATAATAGGAGGTTGGTTGATGTTTTGGATGTTGGGGAATGATGATGCCCGGCCGCTGCTGCTCGACGCCCCTAACACAAAACCACCAGCACCGGCGGCAGCCATGGGGGCTTTTCTCCTCAAACCACCTTCCTCTCTCTCTACACCTCTATTGCAAATGATTATTTCCTCCTAAAACCACCTCTATTGCAAATAATTCTTGCACATGGATCTCGCGCGTTTATTGTAAAGATGATCCCCCGCTCTGTCCCTCCCTTGTTACCGGACAACAGAGAGGAAGCAGGCGAATCAAAGCGAAGGGAAGAGAAAAATGAGAACCTTCCCTTTTAAATCAAATAAAAATGGGGATTCATCTGTGAGTGAGTATGGAAGATGGACGTTCACCGCAAATAAACACGTGGTTTGCACATTGAATATATCAGTTGCCACGTTCTCGGACCCCCTCCCCTCCATGACTCGGCCCGCCTTGGCATGCCATCACCGTCCAGTCACGATCCACGTGGATAATGTGCAGTCCACATCGACAATCGCAACGCACGTCCCAATAGTAAGCCTAAAATCTTGAAAATTGATGCTGAAGGTAATATGTTGTAAAATGTATTATTTTTTAATTTTAAAATTTTGTTATTTTTTATAGCCATTAATCAAAAGGTTTTTCAACATTAAAACTACC